ATGAATGAATGAATAAATGGATGAATGAATAAATGAACAAATGAATGAATGAATAAATAAAGGAACGGATGAATGAATTGAATTGAATGAATTAAATGAATGACATTATCAGGAAATATATTAATCATATTTTTGCTTTCAATGATTTCCAGCAAATGCCATTATTGCTGTTGTTTTCTTAAAAGAACGGATACGATATCAAGATGCTTTTGGTAAGTTTTATAAAAGTCTGGTTTCAAATTCATAAAATRCTAAAATTGAGGCTATTTGAGTAGCAGAGAATTAAAAGAGTATAATCTATGAATATTGCCTGGCTTAAATAGAAGATCAAAACAATTATACTATGACTGCTGTTATATTTAGTCTCCTACGCAGCTGCTAATAGTGTTGTTGCACAACGCTCACTCCCCTAGTGTCATCACACAACGCTCACTYCCCTAAGTAGCTTTTTAGGAGAGTAAACGTCGCGTGACAACACTTATAGCAGCTGCGTACATAGGAGACTAGCTGTTATTGTACTATTACATTCGTTACCTATCTTGAAGGATGTATTCCTCATTTATTGCATGTATTTTTATCATATTAAAGGTGTCCTGTTGGCTGTGGTAGGAGCTTTCTTACTCATCACCTTCTCTACAAAAGTAAGTATTGTTTAATGAGCTAAATACTATGATATACAGTATAATATTATTTATTGCACTCTTCTTAAAATTGTCTTGAATGCAAGGCTAACATGGAAATACAAAAAAAATGCCACAAATTCCATTGAGAAAAAAAAAGTGTTTTCTTTTGTATCTCCATGTTAGCCTCGCATCCACGATACTTTTAACAAGGGTCCATTATAGTGCTTTCTTGTTTATGGAAGGAATTAGTCACTAGCTTTATTTGAACTAAGTTCAAATACATAGTCTAATAAATTTTCAGTCTTAAATGATAAAATGTATTCTTCTTTTACTTTGCACATAACGTCATAGCCGTCATCTTAGGCCTAGGGCAAACATCAAACTTTCCATGCACCGAACTTAATTACATCAAAGAATGCCGCCTCATAATCACCTGATATCCATTGTTTTTAATGAGTTCAGTGCATGGAAAGTTAAGGCCTTTGTTGAATCTAAAGAAGGAATTGTCAATGAATTTTTTTTGTTATATCAACCACGGATGGCTGCAGTATCATTTGTTGTTTATCACTCACTTGGGAATAATTGAAAACCAGCAATACTTTATATTTCATTAAAATTTGGTGTTTTTTTTTGCTTATCAGGAATTTTCAGAGCTCACAGGAGCAGAATTAGCATTTTACATGAAGCAATGGCCATTTCTTGTGTATTTGGTAAGTCATTGTCACAAATGGATCATTTACTTTCCAGGAATAAGCCTTTCCTGAATTCCCTTGAGTGACCAGGAAAGAATGGTTCTAACTTGAGGTTGGACTTGATAAAATACGCTAAATGTATGAACACGCCAAGTTTAATCTAGACTCAGAACCTCGTTTACAACCAGCTTATTTCTTTGCTTGATTTTCCATAATACTTGTATTTGTTTGTAACCACAGATTCTTGAGATAATCGTCTTCTGTGTTCTATTATACGTACAAGTGAAGTATTCACTGGAAAATGTGGTGGTATTTCTCATGTTAGTTGCACTTCTAGGTTAGTGGACAATGATTACACATGCTGGAAGAAATGATATATTACAATTTTTATGATAACTTACAAATGTCTCGAGCGCTGATTGGCTGATTTTTATCATCAATAAGAGGACAGACAGATAAAGCTGTCGTCATCGAGCCCACGCTCTTTCCATTGGTTGTTTTGATCGCTAGAAAAGAGATGTCTTTATTGTTTTTCTTGTTGTTTTTGTTATTGTAAAAAACAAATTGACTTCAGATTTTTATGTTTCTGTCCTCCTATTGACGATAAAACTAATTGTGTCATCACATTGTCAAAGTAATATGTGGATCCACTAGGCATTAATAGTGATTGATTGTTGCAAGGAAAATAGTGGTTTTCTACCTCCTCTTTGGTCTCAGATATYGCTGCTTTTCCTTATTGAACTAGTTTATTAAAATGAATTAATTTATAATGGACTGTAAAGCTTTGAACACTCTTTCTCAGCTTTCTATATGGAGCACACCTTTTAGATTCACTGGTTCCCAAGAGGATTTGTTTGGGAAGACAAAACGATGGATTTTTTGCCTAAGAAAGGACGGCYTATTGTTTTGTCCCCCATAACAATTCCTCTAAGGAAATAAATGCAAGACTGGCTGAGAACCTGTGAAAATCCTGTGGAAAACCTGTGAAATTTCTAAAATACAGAAATATTTTTCACTATTTTTTCACAGGATTTTCACAGGTTCTCAGCCAGTAGTGTCTGATGATATTGAACTCGGTATATTTATTTTATGATTTTCGTTTTTATTGTTTTATTAGGTTCACTAACAGTCATTTCTGCTAAAGCTGTATCCTCAATGTTAAACATCACATTTGGTGGCAACAGTCAACTGGGGCATCCCTTACTTTACATCATGTTAATTGTGATGATAGCTACTGCGGTGGCACAAGTAAAGTAAGTAATATGTAAACAGGATGTATTGTGGTCTAGATCGGGTACAAACCATAAAAGGTGTGTTGTGTTGAACAAAAGATGGTACCCAAGCAAGGCCACAATGTACCATGGTTGCAATTAATTTCATTATGTGCTTAATTTCATTAAGATGCCACTGTTTAATCGTCAAACTAGTCCATTTACCTTTAAAGTATCTAATCGCTTCAGTTCCTGCCACCCACCCTTCATATACATATGTCTGCTTCACACACTTCTCATYATCATTCTCATGAAGGCTATCACAAGATATAGCTGAAACATGCCTTTATAAAATTTACCTATTTCAAGCTAAAATACTTACAGTATTACTATCATGTCCATACACAAAAGCCTTAAAGATACTATCTCATCCTTGTTTTTCCAGTCCATTGTCTTCTCTCCCATCCTCCTGGTTCAACTCCATTCCATTCCTAAGAAAAGTGAACAAAAAATATTTGAGATTTCACAGATTTTTCTTGATTTCAGGTTTTTGAACAGAGCTATGAAGTCGTTTGATGCTACAGTCGTAGTGCCTACAAACTTTGTTCTTTTCACAATCAGTGCTATAATTAGCGGTAAGAACCTTGCAGAAAAGAAATACATCTTAAAATAAAAAGTTATATTTTCAAAATGAAGGAAAGGGAGAAAGAAAGGAAGAAAATTACAAGAAGAAATAAAGGAAGGAAGGAAG